AAACCTGCTCTGTAGTTTGCCACTGTCTTTTCATGGAGGGGTATACTGAGCACATTTGAGTCCCAAAATAGTACCCCTACTCCCTCTCCCATCCCCAATTTTCCAAATGAGTCTTAATTCCAGATATATACTCCATAGGCCTTGAGACTAGAATTAACTTCAGCAAGAATACCCTTGAATTTTAATGGGAGCATGGTTGCTCAAAGGATCTTTCCCAGTGTTCCATGCAGCTGGGTGTGGACTTTTAACTAGATTATGGCCACTGGCTGTTAGTCAGTGCTGTTCTGTCAAAAGACCTGAAAGGTGAGAGACATTATCTTCCTCTTTTCACCCTTTCCACAGGCAGGATACGGACATGGTAGCTAGAGGCGCAGGGACTGAAGACACAGCGACAAACCAGATGGTCCCAGTCCACAGCACACTCACTTTTCAGAGGACACAGTGCTGTCCTGTCCTGCACTCCAAATTTTAGGACACTGATAAAACTATTGTTAAGTTCTGTCAAGTCGGTTCCAGCTCCTTATCAACCCTGCATAGGATTTCCAAGGAGCAGCTGGTAGGTTAGTACCGTTGACCTTGCGGTTAGCAGTCAGTCCAGTGCTTATCCAACAGCGCCACTCCAGAATAAAGTATGTTGTTAAGTGCTGTCAAGTAAATTCTGACCCATAACAACCCGGTGTAGTTTCCAAAGAGCATCTGGTGAGCCTGAACCGCAGACCCTGCAGTTCCAAGTGACTTTGCATGCCAACGCATTAACCTACAGTGCCACACCTGGACGAGGTTAAAAAAGTATTGCTACAAAATTATAGGAACCGTTATTAAACAAAAACATCAGAATATTAAGCTACTGTTTCTCAACGTATCCTCCATCAAGGGCTACTACACTTCGGAAGGCAGTGTTTCCGAAGAATTCTGCACTCTTCAGTTTACACCATGTCAAAATGACAGCTTGGGCATCTTTGAGGGACTCAGATTGTGTTCCTTTTAAATGTTCTTTGCAGTTTGGTAAACTAAAAACACCTGATAGGACAAGCTCAAGGCTGTAAGGGGTAGGGATAAGATTTCCCAATGAAGTTCTTGTACGACAGTCCTTGATACCTTCAAACAATGAGTAGATTCATTATCACAATGGGGGAAAATAAATCTCATCAATAGCGTCTTCATAAGCCCGTGATCATCCTGCGTATTTCAAGAAAATCTTACAAGATTACCCCCCTGGAATCCCAAAGATGGTCACTATAACCTCATGAGGTGACTTCTCCGCTTTGAACTGGCCCAGAAGTCAGTTTTGACTGGACCTTGCTCTCTTAGTTGTATCGATAAATCCAAGACTGGTCCTTATCCAGCATTTCTAATGAGTGATTGGTGGGCTTGAACTGCCAGCCTTACGGTTAGCAGTCCAGTATTTATCCTACAGCATCACGTATGAGATGATGTCAGGACTCCACGTTATGAGATGGATAAAATGATTCCCTTTTTACAGATGAGAATGACACAGGTTTAGTAATCTGTCCAAGATCACACAGCCCTTGATGCTAATGCTAAAACCCACACCTGTAGGTCCTCACCAGTGGTTCTCAACACATAATGCACATTACAGTCCCTGTGGAGCTTTCAGCAGGCGCCGTAGTGGCACCTGGCTGCTAACCAAGAGGTTCAAACCCACCAGCCACTCCATGAAAGACGTAGCAATCTGCTTCTATAAGAGCACAGCCTCAAAATCCCATGGGTCAGTTCTACGCTGTCCTACAGTGTCGGTGAGTCAGAATTTAAACGGCTGTGGTTTGGGTTTTTATAAGTTATTTTTATAAATTTAAGTACATTTGTGGACCAGAATCAACCATAAGGCTATTAAAACAATTTTGACAGTGTGACTTAGTGATTCTTTTGAATAACGTTTTACAATAAAATAGATCACATCCATCCACGCACTATTGTTTATTTTATAGAAACTCATTAATTGTAAACCAGAATTCTGGGATTTTATGAAGAATATTTTCATTTTGAGAATTTTCAGACTTTTGACCTACCATGCAGGGTACAAGAACTTTGCAGTTATACATTTTTTTTAAAAAAAGTAATTTTCAAAATGTCCCCAAGAATTACATACATACACCCCATCTCCTTAAACAGTGTACCATTGATAGTGGTGTATATCCTAAAATTTTCAGGAGAAAAATTATATTGATGTTTCAGATATGCATAGAAAGAGCACCACTGAATAATCGGTAAGAGATGAAGCCCAGGTGATAGGCTAGTATGTGGACAATGAAGCCGGGGTGGGAGAGGAGTAATCGTAACCACACAATTTAACAGGGATGGAGAAAAACAAGCCTATGATCTCAGTCCCAAATAAGTCAAACCACCCAGGCAAAGGAATCTAGCACAATGGCAGTTATGAGAAACTAACCTAAGTGTTACAACATGCTGCTCATGGTGTCTTTGGAGTGGACAATTCTAGGTCAACATCCTGGCTCTTACTTCCTGTGTATCCTTGGGCAGAAAAAAATTCCTTAGCCTCTGAGGCCATTCCTAAAAGGCAGGGTTTCTGTGGCTGAGGTGTGCGGAAGCAGGTAGCCTGGTGCCTGGCACATCACGTGCTCAGTAATGACAGCTATGACTGGCTCAACACACACCAACAGTGTGACAAGGCTGCTGATGCTTTGTCAGTGACACAGAGACAGCAGCATAGTTTTAGACAGTCAATAAACATAGCACTTCATCTTGGGAAAGATCTGGAGTTTGCTGTGTTAGTATGCGTCCACACTTCCACTGCCTGCCCAGCTCCTGTGCCTGCCGTGTATGTGAGAAAGAGAATGAGAGAAGACAGAGAAATGAAGAACACACTTTTCATTTTCAAAACAAATGTTAGAGCATGACTCCCTTCTGTCCGGCAGCGAGCTCACCACCATCCCTTTCTGCCCAGGAGACTGAATTGCTGCTCTAGACCTGTGCTTGTCCCCTTCCCTTCCCTCCTGACCCCTAAACTTTACCACTACAAAGCCCTAAAATCACTATTCCCCCAACGTGATCCCTCTTTAAGGGTAAAGGATATGGGCTAATAGAGCAAGACAAAGAAATAGGACTATGGGGTCTTGAGAGTTGCCAAATTGGTCACCTTTCGAGGGCCCATACGCTAAATAAGAAGGTTAGCTGTATATTAGCCACCCACTAACTACCAAGAAAGAACAAGCCCTGTCATTTCCATATGACAACTCTATGAGCAGGTAGGAACATTCTTCAATGTTTGTGGTCAGGATGAAATGATAAGCCCCAACATGCAAGATTTCCCCACCACAATTTGTCCTATGACAAATACTCTTTTGTACCAATCTTTATATATTTATTCACACACTTGTAAAAACTGTCAGTGTTAGGTGTGAAATTAAATCAGGACATGGAGCAACCACAACTCCTTACCACTGTGCCCACACAACATGCTCTCTTGCACACCCACTAACACCCTAGCAATCACAGGGGCTAAGCACAGAAATACTCCAATGAGATCTTTTCTGGTTCAGTCAGGTCTTGAGGACGAGATAAGAAATAACCTATGAAAAGACTGCTTAACCCAGCTCTCTGCTGTCAGGGGCTCAGAGAAGGTAAGACATGAAGCATTGGGGCAGTTACTTCACAGGCAGAGGAGATCAACAAGGGCTTACATTAGTCTCAGGTTTAGATCCTTTTACAATGTCACAAGAGTAGCAAGTAGGAATAAAAGCAAAAACCTTGCCTTTGAAACTCTAGAAATAAAAGGAGGATTGGAAGCGTGATCTCCCAAAAAGCATAAATAAAACCAGCACGGCCAAACCAGTACCATTTGATTGTGACCTTGAAAGAATTGTACTGTTTGTTTTCATTTTACCTCTGAAGGGTGGAGGAAAACTTTTTCAAAGGAACAAGAGGGTCCCCAATTCCTTACGTTATTATTTTGAGCAAGATTATAGCAAATTTCTTTTACATAGTTTGGTTAACATTCTAACAGCTCTAAGGAAGTAGTACAGCCCATCTCTCTGCCTTTAACCTTCCGAAGAGGAAGAGTCCTCAGCATCTAAGCAAATCTCAAGTGTTGAAAATAATGTGTGAATCAAACTGATGTCTCTATATAGTGAGACCATGGAGAAATACTGTTCAACTCCCTAATTCTTTCTTTTGATACAAAAATTAGAAAACAAAACAAAATAAAATCCCCACTTAATTTGAATGCAATGTTTTGAGGACCTCCATTAGCCCTATCAAAACACTGATGATTCAGAAAGCTACTGTCAAATAGGATCCATCTCTTGGTAAACTGGGTAAGCTTAGGAAGGAGGCAAAGATCCAAATGAACACAGTGTAAATTAAAACATCTGAAGGAAGAACTGGCCAGAGATTCAAAAGGAAATTGCAATGGATAAAGACAGAGTCAGTGGGGAAAGTTTTGAGAGGTAAGGAGAGAAATTTCTTGGTACAAACTTTATGTTCTGAAAGATAGATGCAAGGTAAAGACAAGGCACTTAGAGCACAAAGTAATATTTCATCATCTATTCAATAATAAAGACCATTACACCAAGAGCACTCCCAGTAATAATCCCCTCACTGAAGAATCAAGCGGCCAGCTATATACTTTCCAGATGTATCTTCAGAACTGAAGGAAATCCAAAGCACTGCAGAACTGACGATGGGAACTGGAATGTCAGCAGAGGAAACAAATGGACGTTGTCCCCTTCTGGCATGAGGTGAGAGATTCGTTCTGAGAACTACTGAATTGAAATACTGAATTTCAAAATGCTTGGCCTGAGAATACGACAACGTCTCCAGGGATGCCTTCTTCTCTGTGTTCTGATAAAGACCAGTGAGGGCTCTGAATGAAGCCAGACACCAGTTACTGAATTCACTTGCACTGGTAGCTCCAGCACATGCCTTATAATATATGTGGCTTGTCCCCATTCTGTAGCAGAGGGATAAAGGACTGAGCTAGGAATAAAAGCTGTCTATCCCCCTCCTTATCCCAAAGCCCTTCAGGCATACTCGATACGGGCAGGGCCATGACTACTTTCATTTTTCCGCTCAGAGGACTGGGTGGTGGCCTTGGCTTCATTGCCCATCTCCAAAGGCTTAGCTGAGATGTAGTCCTTTACTTTGATCTCCATGTTCTTGGCTCTCAGAGTGGCCATGTGCAGCTTCTCCAAGAAATCTGGCATACCTGTCAGGAAAGGGGACAATGTGGTTAGACTGAGATAGAACCCAGCAGGTACACTCAAAATGAGAGTCTTTTGTCTTTGATGTAGGGAGCTAATGCTTATTTAGAAAGAACACAGCCTAAGTAAAAACACATGAGTTACACCTGCCTCCCAGAATGTATATGAAATAAAAAGCAATCCATGACCACTTATCCTTTGAAAAGGGATACTAATCAGGCCGTTATTTCCCAAAGATTCTCTTTTAGGTGCTTAAATATCCGTTATCAGGGCACAGGAAGAAAGATGTGGCAGAGTCTGCTTCTGTACAGATTACAGCTTTGGAACCTCTACGAGGCAGTTCTACCCTGTCTTATAGGGTTGCTATGAATCAGAATTAACTCACTGACAATGGGTGTGTTTTTCATGGTTTATCATGGCATAGCCTAAACAGCTGCCAATTTTATCGAGACAAATGTCAAACAGAAACACCCACTCTCCTCTCCATTCTCATAGTCTCTCCTCTTCTCCCCCCACGGTAGAACAAACTATCTACAGACAGCCAGAAGAAAGACACGTGAAGGTGCTTTCTGATAAAAGAAATCAGCAGGAAAAGATGCAATTATAGTGAAGATGCTTAACTATCTTATGAATCTTGGTTTCCCTTGCCTACTATTATAAAATAAACTCTTAGAGGGGCAGAAAGGAATAGCCAGAAACATGACTATTGAAAGCTTGTAAGTCTGTCTTCAGCCTGCAACTGATTGTAATATCTAAAAGGGGTGCTAGAACTTGCCCAGTGAAAGATGCTTCCTGGGGAGCCTTTGTAGTATCTAAGACCTTAGGTGGAATCCAGATCCCCATCTAGAATCCTCTAAGGTGGGAAATTTCCACCTGAAAAAACAAGCAGACCAGCCTGGAGCAGCTACAGGAACAGAAGATACTTCTTGAAAGAAAGACGAGCAGGGAAAATCAAAAACAAAAAATGAGAGTCTGACTGACTACCAGAAGAACAAGCAAGCGGTTCACATCAAGGCAAGCATTCAAGTCCCTTCAGGGCAAATCCCTTTAGAAGACTGAAACTCAAAGAGAACAGTACATGGAGCAGGCAGCCACACTGGTCTACTGATGAGGGGAAGTGGGGGAAAAGCAGCAATGAAGATGTGGGCTGAATCCGAACACATTCAATAGACTCTTGTCAACCTAGAGTGTGATAAGACCTGGGGACTCCTGAGTCCATGTGTCAGACATAGCCACAGAGGGCTAGAGCAGAGTGAAGTCCAGCTGACATTAAGTGAAGTGAGATACACAAGAATGCTCATACTTGCAGATAGTACCCATTTGACCTAGCTTCAATGGTTGGATGATCAGAACTCAACTAAAGGAAGAAAGAAAGAAAACAAGTGTAATTCCAGAGAAGCAGCAATACCAAAGATGCAGGCAGAGATGATGACATAGAGAGATGGAGTGGCTGGGGACTCTATCTAGACTCATGGAGGGATAGGGGCTGTGTGCTGGCATCCGGAGAACAGGCTTACAGGGTATGCCCTTTGGGTGCTTGAATGATTATAAATTCCTGAGTGTTTTAAAATCAAACCAAAGCAAACAGAAGCAAATACAGTTAAATGATGATGCATGGAGGGGATTGTAATCACTGCAATGAAACGAAAGATGATAGGATAACTGTATGGCTGATGTTCTCCCATGTAAACTATCATTCAATTCACAATAAAAACTTTAAAAATTAAAAGCTCATGAAATTAAAAAAAAAAAAAGAAGATGCCATTATAGCTGTGGCATGAGCCTTTGCTATGATAGGTGGTAGTCCTTTTCCCAGGTAACCAACCACCCTACACCACATTTTCTATATAGATCTTACAGTCTCCAATACCACCTACAAAGAACTTTTTTTCAAAAAATGCACTAATGTACACGGCCCATATTTAAGTCACTGAAGCCAATGTCCTTCTTAAAACCATATTCTGGGCACAAGTTCCTTTCTGGGATCCTATCATCTTCATCCTTGAAAAACTAAGCTGGAAGCTTCAATGCCATTCTCCCCAGTAGGGCTTGATCTAGTGAGATGAGTACCAATCTTCATGCTGCCATTAAGAAGTCAGAGAAAATCTGCTCAACCCAGACTCCAGGTACTGCAGAGAAATCTCACTCACCACTTGACACCATCCAACTAACACAATAGCGGGGAAAAACTGTCTGGGGATTGTCACTGTATGTCAGCAAGTAGTCAAAGCCATTCTGGAAAAGAAAAACAGCAAAGATGAGGAAGGTACTTGAATTAGTCACTGTAACCCCATATCAATATCACAGAACATCACAGATTGTGGGACAGGGTAGTACTTTAAAAAATGACAACAACAAAAAACCCTGTGCAGAAAAGAGCTGAGAGTCTTTTCTGAGACTGCCAATTTTACAAAAGCTGCTTGGCTCTCAGTTCTGTCATCACTTACTGAGAAGGGTGGTTCGCTGTGGCTAGACTGTAAACTACGTGGTTTATGCTGAGCACCTGTGCTCTCCCCTTTGGGATCCAGGAATTTGGGTACATGCTAGGCAGAGAGTGCCTACATGACCAGCCTCCAACAAAAATCCAAGTTTCTAATAGGCTTGTCTGTGCAGAAGCACTGCATGCATGTTGTGGCTGAAAGAGTGTGCTCTGTGAGACCTGTTGTAGAAAGGAGAGTGCAGCCTGCACAACGTTCTTCCAGACTGTTCCCATATGATCTGGCTACGTGTACCTATTACACTGCTGAACCTATGAACACAACTACGTGCTATGTGTACACACACTCACATTTATGCCACTACACAAAAGTGTCAGACCCGTCCTATGTGAGATGCACTCAGGTAGCTCCTGCTTAATTTTATTCTTTTTTTAAGCTGGTCATAATCTACTATATTAGTTTTACCTTTCACTAATAGGCAGCAGATCTGGAATCTTAAAAATGCTGCTCTAAAATAACACAGAGGTAAATGTGCCAGTCCCTCAGTAAATAAGGAGTGCAACACTATTTTGACTGAGGTGAAACACTGCTTCTATGTCATATTAAAAGTCCCTCTAGAGGTTGTATTAAGAAAAACAATTTGGTGAGAACAGCAAATGCTTGCTAGACCTCCCTGTAGGTCTGAGGGGAAACAAAACCATTATAAAATGACAACCTGTGGCATCCATATGTATACTCAACAGATTTGGCTTAAAAGTTGGGAGAAAATATTCTTGTTGAAGAAAGATCACAGAATTCTAAAGTAGGACTACAGAGAAGATTTGTCTAACCCTCTTATCTTGTGGACAAGAAAACAAATCCAGAAAAGATCAGATGTGTTCTCTGCTCACCATGGGAAAACTTTTCACTGAAAAGGAGCACGATCTACTAATTAGAAACGCTACCTGTTCTAGATTCAGTTGCATCTTCCAAAAAGTTATGTTAAAGTTCTAGTCCCTGTATCTGTAACTGTGACCTTATATAGACAAAGGGTTTTTGTTATCAGCTGGGTTGTGTAGGTAGTTTTGGAGTAGGACAGGTCCTAGCCCTAACTCCTCCTGAGTGGGGTCTTATAAAAAGGGACTGAGTGACACCATGCGAGTACAGACACCATGTCACGACAGAGGCAGATGAATCTATAAGCAGCAAAGGGATGTCAGAGGATTGTCAGGTGTGATGCTACAGGATGTGCACTGAACTGTGATCCATATGGTCAGTGGTTCAAACCCACCAGCTGCTCCTCAGAAACCCTGTATAGGGTTGCTATGAGTCATAGTTGACTCACAGCACTTAACAACATCAGAAAGTACGAAGACGATCATGGATGGCTGAGACAATGATTTGAACTTTTAGTTTCTAAAACTGTGACAAACACAATTCTATGCTTTAAAGGCACCCACTTAGTGACATCCTGTTATGGCAGTTCTGGAAAATTGAGACACTACTATTGTCAGTCTAATGAGTATATGCTTACTATTTTTTCCTAACTGTCTCTTAAAATAAAGGGAGTCAACAGATCAACACTTGGTCTAGGGGATCTTCCAGATACATCACCCTACAAACAACAGGGGTTCCCAAAGTATGTTTCCAGATCAGTAGCTTCAGTATCACCTGGGAACTTGCTAGAAATGAAGATTCTTCCTGAACCAGAAACTCTGAGGTTGAAGCTCAGTAATGTATTTTATTTAATATTTAATTCACTCTGATGCATGCCAAGTGTGAAACCAATGCTCTACAACAATTTACCCCCTCCAGACAAAAGGTACTTCTTGAGAACAATCCAAAGCCAACACACACCATCCATCTCTTGGGTGCTTTAAAACTCACCTCATCAAATGATTTGTGGGGACGGATAACCATTTGGGATTCATATGATCTGACCCTCACAAATTCAGGAGACTCTGGCACACTCGGGTGTTCCACAGCTCTGGTAAGGAGAAAAGGGGAAGTAAAATCTACACAATGTTTATAAATCAAACAACATCGGTGCTAAGTAAGATTAAGATGACCTAAGAAGTTAATTCTAATTTTTTTAAATGGGAAAAACAAACAAGAGTAGCTACTTGTTGTTGTTGTCAGGTGCCATCGAGTCGGAACCGACTCATAGCGACCCCATGCACAGCAGAACGAAACAGTGTTCGATCTTGGGCCAACCTCACCACCGCTGCCACCCCCGAGTCCATCAATGATGCCACCTGGCCGATCCATCTCGTTGGGGGTCTTCCTCTTTTTC